CATACCTCTCCTGACGTTGATAATATTCGCTCAAAAGCGTTGAAATTGGCTGCAATAAACCTGGAGGACCCACTCTGCAAGTTCTTCCAACGATACCTCCATGAGATGCGGGTGCCAACAATGTAGAAGCAGGGCATCGTCACTCTTATCCATAATGGGGGAAGTCGTACAGATCCGGCCAGCTATCACCCGATAACACTAGTTCCGGTGCTCTCCAAAATCATGGAAGCGATTTTGCCGAAGAGCTGATGAACTTCTTGGAGTAACGCAATATCATAACACAAGAACAACATGGCTTTCACAAGAACCGATCTTGCACTTCAAACTTGCTACTTGCTAGATCCAGCTGGACTGATGCCGTTGACAACGGCATAGGTGTTGACGCAGTATATCTGGACTTCTCAAAGGATTTCGACCATCTGAACCACCGTATCCTCCTTCACAAGATGCACTGTTGTGGAATTGGTGACCCAATCCTTGGTTGGATAGGTAACCTCTTGATTCAACGACATTTGAATGTAAGAGTTCGCGGCGTCATCTCTGACCCAATCGACGTTAAGTGCGGAGTGCCCCAGAGCTCAGTATTGGTCCACGACTATTCCTGATTTACATAAACGATCTCGCGACAGTAATCACCTCCATCTCCTTACTCTTCGCGGATGACTTTAAAAGATGGCGAGCCATTCAAACAACCAGCGACAATACAGCACTTCAGGATGATCTTGACAGTCTACGAATGGTCGACTCAGAACCTGCTTCAGTGCAACGCTACGAAGTGAAAGGTGTTGAGTGTACGCCATAAAGATACTTGCGAATACAGACTGGAGGATCGAATATTGCAGCGCACTTCAACGGGATGCGATCTAGGCGTGATAGTGCAGGAAGATCTGGGCTGTTCCCGTCAGGCCGAGAAAGCCTCCAAAAAAGCTAACCAAAACCTTGGCCTTATGCGGAGGGCATTCGGGCGCTTCGATTCTTCCATCTTTTCTCAGACGCCCAACGCCTACATTCGGCCCCACTCTGAGTACGCCATCCACGCCTAGCAGCCATGGCAAAAGCAAGACCTTACCGCTCTTGAACTGCCACAACGAAGGGCGACCAGGAACGTAAAGGACCTGTTTCATCTCCCTTGCCGATTAAAGCTGAAAACCCTCGCGGTCTACAGTGGACAATATGGACGCCCGCGTGGGAACTTGATAATGACTTGTATGATTCTGAGGAATCCAAACCATTCTTGTCGACACCTACTAAAGCTGAATAGCATTATCACAATCAGAGGAGACCATCTAAAGCTGGACACACAATACAGCCGGTTGGAATTCCGCCGGAATTTCTTTCCCCTTCGTGTGTGTCAACACTGGAACGCTCTTCCCACATACGTGTTTTCTTCCCCCACGCTAACGGTATTCAATGGACGTCTGGATGATTCGTTTCTCCACTTACATTATGCTATATAATCAGAGATGTCTACGTCAACCAAACGCGAACAAACGGTGCTCATTCTCAGCTTTTGTGCTACACTGCTTACACACTGCTGCTGTGGAATATCGTTCGGATATACTACAACCGCATTCATCAATCACACCAGTCAAAGAAAGCGGCGCACGAGTAAGCGTTCTCGTTTCTTTTGTTTTTAAGATATATCTTCCCTATATTACTTCCCCATATTATCCACAGTAACAATTCAATGCACATTCTAAAATGTTTATATGAAGAAAGGGCACCTGAATCGCTAGACGCTGAAACCGACGATTTACACTTATGTTTACTTTCACTTCCACCATCCTACTGGACTTGTAAAGCAATCGCTTTTTTACCTGCAATATATCATTGTTCATTGTACAAATCAAGGTGCATATTTTCATTATTATCATGTAATTTGTTAAACCCTACTACTGGATTTACTAAAGAAAGCTGCACACGGGTACGCGCTGTCGTTTCACTTTGCTTTGTGAGAGCACATTCAGTTCTCGATTCAAAGCGCCATTACCCAACATTGCAGTTAAATCTATAGTCGCTTAAACCGACGATCCACTTATCCTTTGATCTGTTTTTTCTCACTCCAACCACCCTACGGGAATTGTCAAGCGCCCGCTATTTTACCCGTTATACTTCATGGCTCATTGTATGTATATTGATGCAAACCACATGTTGATTTATCCACTGTGATCCCAAAAGAATTATTAGTCGGATGCACATTTAATGTTCGGTTTCTCTTCAATGGCGAATTACACTGGCAATGCGATGGGGTGGCGATGGGTTCCCACCTTGGACCCTTCCTCACCGATGTTTTCATGGGCAAGCTGGAATAGGTCATATCAAAATCAACAATCGCGGACCTCAGTCTAAATTGCCGGTACTTGGATGACCTCTTTGTTTTACTTTAATTCTCCCGAAGTATCGGTGACGTAACAAACACATTTAACCAATGCCACCCAGCAATAAAGTTTACCCTATGAAGTGGAAGAAAACAAGCTATTTCATTTATTAGACGTCGCTCAGAGAAGACTTGATGGAGGTGCGCTGCAGCGTCGCGTCTATTGGAAATGCACGTCGACTGGACAGTACACACATGTCTACAGTATTTGTGTCACTCAGGCTTAATCTGAACTTAATACCTAGCTTAGTGAGCCGAGTTGAAAAATTATGCTCGGAAGACATGTTTCCTAAGGAGTTTGAGTGTATTCGTTTGATGCTGAGGGAGGATGACTACCCAGTGCTTTTCATGCAAGCCAACACGGAACAGAAGAAAAAGCCCGTAAAGTCAATAGTAGAACGTAAGCCAGTCTGTCCACAGTTGTCATACAAGGGAAAAGTTACGAGGAAACTTCCATTTTGTCGTCTTTCGCATTAACTAAGAAGCACTAACCCAGAGGCAAGAAAGCGAATCCAGTTTACTTGAACTCCCATGGTAACACTAAACTGAACGGATAAGAAGCCTGTTGACGCCAACTCAATGTGTGTTTAGCCATTCTCCTGCGCATGTGGAGCAGAGTACATTGGCCGTCCGACAAGTCGCATATATCTGAGAGAGTAAAGGAAGTAGAAAACAGCCAACTCCTTCATATCCGCACATCTCGCCGACACAGGGCATGCCACCACTTCAGCTGACTCTTACAATTATCTATCAGGCCCCGACGAACCGATCGAAATACGTGCGCAAACAATCGCTAGAAGATGCGGAGCCAATTGCGATTCGACTGTATGAACCGGAGCTGTGTATTCAGAAACTTGGGATTACCATGGTCCGAACGGCTGGTGACTTCTGAGCTGCAAGTTGATTGGCAGTTGATTGGTGTAACGTAAAGGACAGCTACTAACAACATTTAACTCACTCCACAAGTAACGGCTGATAACGCCTGTCTACCCATTTTGAGTTGCGTATAATTGTAGAGGCCTGAAGATGTAGCAACGAAAACATATTTTCGCTTACCCTGATTTATCATCCTTCTATGGGTTTTTCTATAATTTGTCTTTATTCCAAATTTTGATATTTGCAAAACATGATTGGACATTGCCCTCAACTTGCTTTACTTGCTTCCGTGCACTGTGCTACTGCAGAGTATCTATATGATTCTCTCCCAGTAAATTTAGATATCATATGGATACTAGTAAGAGGCACCAGATTAAATGATTTTGTTTTTCACTGAGACGTTACTGTACTGCTTCTCACATTGTTTGCTTTGTCAATATGCAGTTTTCAGCTGACCTTTTCCTCATGCAGCATCGGATTTAATCGATAGACGTGCAAAATTATGACGTATTTTTGTGTGGTGTTCTCTTCTTTTCTCTCTTCTGGACTTATTAAGCACCTGTTTTGTTATCCGCGATAAGTCACTGCTTATTGGTTTTGATTTTTCCAATAGCGACGACGGTGGTTGGGCGGTGAATATACTGAGAGCGACTTTGTGGTTAGCATGTTTGCTCTGGGGTAAGTATGACCCAGCACTCATTAGGTATGCCACTATCGGGTATTCTGTGGTATTGTTTCTTTTGCGCAAACCACAGCTCCGACTCTGCCTAGTCAGAAGAGGGAAGCAAAGTATTGAGAAATTCCCAGTTGAACATCCACTAGAAGGCGTAAATCCACCAGCTTTAACACACCATGGCTGACTGTGGGAATAGATTTCTCGTTGTGACACGAACACTCTGGATCGAATAGGGGTGATGCAAATAGATGTTTATATCGAGCCGCGTTTCTTACGGTGCTCTAAAACGGTCTTCAAACTGCCCCAAAACAGTTGCAATAACGCATATTTTCCTTTGAGAATGTGGATAACCATGTGTTAGTATGCATGGACGACATCCCATATGAGTGAGAAGGAATTCACGCGTTAGACCGCTGATTACGCCCGGTGCACCAGTAAGTTTGTACATCGTTCTTCCCACAAAGAGTAACGACCATGGGCCTACAAAACAGCAGAAGCCTCCGACACACTCGAAGCCGTCATAGAACACATCAACGCTCTTGGTTGCCTACAAGTGAAATGTTCGTGGTACGGAAGCGTGTGCGAAGAAAACCCCAGCTACCAACGGATTCGAGAGCATTACTCTAGTAGAGCGGATAAATAAGCAATAACATGAGAGCAGAGCTTCCCGGTGACTGGAAGCTAACAGAAAGGAGTTGGAGGCTCTGGAGATGTATGGGTAGGGAGTTAGTTTATCAGCAACCTGTAAGATTAAGTGCGCTTGGAAGCTGATTACTGAAGTAAGCGAGTTTTGTTGGAAAATACTGAGCAAGTGCTATATCAGACCGTCAACCTGCATTTGAACAGGAGCTTTCTGTGCTGAAAGTGAGTCGGTGTATCGATCTACCCTCGTGGGTTGCAGACTTGCTAAGAGTCTGCGACCATGCGCGGTGTTGGACAGCGAAACTGTGATAGTCATACCATAAATACGCAGGTAAACGCTGCTAATCCAACAAAATTTTGCAAACATAAATTAGACAACAGTCTTTTACAAGGGCAACCACCGTAACCATTAAGGTGTCGTATTGAGCGTTACACTAAGGGCGGCACATCAGGACAATCGACGAAGTCTGGACTGTTCGATCGACTGCGGACCAACATGGGGTTGCGTCTGAGTACACCAGTCTCGTGATTCGTTGATCCGGATTCTTTGTTTTTTGGGCTGACAATCGACTTCCAGTCAACTCTCACACCTGTGTTGCACTCGTCATCGAGAAGCAATTTGGAAGGCTGCTTGCCAGGACATTCCGCGGAATCACCTGCTCGCATGCTGCGTGAGTGGAAGAAAAACATAAGCAAGGAGTTTGGGCTGCAACAGTGATTCATCGAAACGGCAGCGAGGTGTATGAATATATATGCGCAATCTGAATACAGATAATGTGCTATCAGAACCATGACAAGAAGGGAAACACGATAGGCTAGCGTGGGCAATACGTAATCGTGGCAATGCATGCGTTGTCGGGAATAGTGTTTTGGAGGCAGGGGCATTTCACCCTAAGCGTTCGGTCTGGGATTTCAGTGTTGCTTAGGTCATGCTGCCACTACACGCGCGCAATCATTCGCAGACAACAATTGTCAAAAACGGGTAATTCGTTCACGTCTTCTGAACGAATAGGCCAGGTCTCACATTCGCACAAGAGGAATGCAGAGACAGAAATAGTAGACGTTCTGCCATTAAGCTAGAGAATGACATCACAATGAGGTCATAGGTGTCTCAGTTTGATGAGTGCAAGGTAGGCCTTCGCGATCCGTTGTGACACCGAATCCCAAACACCTTTGACAACTGTGACGCAACTCCTTGGATACGTGAAATAGGGGACATGTTCCAGGACGTTACCAGCAGTGGTGAGGGCAGGCAAGGGCACCTGAACATCCAGAAGTAGAGTTTTACTTTCGCTTTTGGTAAAATACACGCCATACCTAGACGCCACCTCGGTTTTGGACACTTTCCAACGCTCGTTGGAGGATATGTTCAGTTGAAAAACTGAAAATAAAGCGAACTAGGGCAACTTTGGTGAACACCGCAAGTGATAGCAAACAGAGAAATACCTGTCGTAAGCCCTGATTTTGCCCGATGTGTGACTGCAGAGATCCTTCAGGATGGCTACAGATTGGTCAGGTAAACCTTTGTTTGGTAGACACTTAAACAACAACTGAATCAAATGCCACTCGGATGTTAGCCGTCATCGGAAGTGACGGAGTTCTAACATTTGGCAAATTGTGAAGATTTGATCGATGCAACGTCAACCTGGATGAAAACCGGCTTGTTCCTCTCGGAGAACGTCCTTTCTTACAGTTGAAAGTCTGCAGAGTAGGACGGACATGAAGACATTGGACGCAACAAAAGCCAACGAAATTCTGCGGTAACTGGCGAAATTTTCGCGGGTGACTTTCGTGTGAATTTGCGCAATGACCAATTCTTTCTATGCAATTGAAAATTTCTCGTCTACCTCAAACTTCGTTAACATTGATAGGATTTCGCTGACAAGTGCATTTTCGCCATCTTTGCGTAGAGCCGGAGTTAGACTGTCAGTGCCGGGGATTTATGATGTTTCATGGATTGCTCCTCGGATTACTACTTCATTAAGAGGATCTGTGGGGACAGGCCAAACACCATCAGACGGAAACGAATGCGTCACATTGGGCTGTGCTGGGTAGTTAAATTAAAAAGCAGAGATCAGCCCAGCTACCCAAACTCCTGTTTACGTTGGTGATTTTCATGCCGACTGGCCCACAAAGTGCCAGACTGATAGAGTGTGAAAGGCAATCGGTGGCCTTGGTAAGGAAAATCAAATTGTGGAAGTTTCCAGCCCATTCAGAAGATTGTTTTGTCCACCAGGAATCACGGTCAGAGCGAAGGTTTGATTCCAGTGATTGAGAGCAGTGAAAACCAACTGAGTTATGGCCACTCTTTAGCAGGGCGGCATTATCTTTTATGATGTGGCTAACTGGTCCGGTAACCACTTATGCATCTTTAGCATCATCAGTTACATTGGAAGGCAAATGTTGTTCGTTCGTGAGTCCAAACAAGTACACCCGTATAACTCCTTGATAACCAACACTGTAAGGAAGCCTGTAACCATTGAAACATTATAGTGTTGCTCATCCCAACGCTGGCATCCCAAGACCGCGGTTTCGTCCTGGTTGGGACTCATCAGTTGGAGATAGCCTGAGTTAGGCTGAAACTCAGAGCCTAGTGGCTTATGGTTGACGCCATAAGCACTATGCCACTGAGCTCCGCGAGCAACGCTTGGTCCAGCGGAAACGAATGCAAAGGTGGACTTGAAGAACCCGCTGGTGGTTGGGTTGCTACAAGCAAACTCTATTGAGACCGAGATCCACCTCAAGTGAACCGAGATCTCAATAGAGGTTGCTTGTAGAACCCAACCACCAGCGGATTCTCCAAGTCCACCTTTGAAGCCTGTAACCACTTTGAGCTAAGCTTGATAGCCTAACTGAGGAAGCCCATGGGCATCAACGCTTTCTAGCCACATTTATTAATATTGGACTGATTAAGTTTCATCGGAAACTCTACATCAGCGCCATGTTCCCCGAAGGTCCACCAGCCGTCTTCTGATGCCCCATTACCAACATTTATCGGCTTTTGCTACAGGGATCAGGGCTGGTATGCTTCGTGTGATCATCATCATACATTCATCTAAACGTTCCCGTGGTTTGATTGGTAATAAGAAGTTACGCATATTTATATCATTAACAATACAGTGCTAGTGTTATTGTGCATGTTCTCGCATTGTCCGATGTTATTCAGCCCGAGAGGCTTCCATCTCGATATAGTCCTCGCCCACCAATTGCCAATGAGTAGGTGGTAGGAGTACGGCGATACGGAGATACCAGAGATGGGACTAACGTCTTATAGGTGATTGTCAGGTGCCGCAATCGGTTAGCACGTGAGTCGCTGAGTGCGTATTGTAGCATACTATACCTTTTACGACTCAAGTCAATCCATAACAGAATCAAGCTCCTCCTTAAGAATATTCAACTCAATTCATAAGCACATCAAGTTGCATCCAAGTGGCGCACACGCACAAGTGCGTGCCCATCGTCTTGACCAATTGCAAATCAGTACAAGAATACTCAGAACATCTGCGTCAGTTGGTGCAGCAGTTAGACTGCGCTCAGCCAACAAACCACGTGATGCACATGCGGACGTGAAAACAACACGTGAGCTCATTCACTGTAGGATAGGTGCGGACTAGCACGCGGCATCTATGGACGGTTGAGGAAGTACTGTAACTCCCACCCACTCACTTACGCGGCATCAAGACACACAACACAGAACTGGGTGGCCATCCGCGTTCATAATGGTCACAGTTACGCGCAGACGACCGGACATGAAATGTACTCTACAATGAGACAGTATCGATTGCCTTCACTGAAACTAGCTACATGCATGCTACCAGACAGGTCCGTTAACTTCATATGGTGTGACCTAGACTTAGCGGTGTCTAGGTGTGATCGGGTGTGGTTAATGGTGGCTAGGTGAAATAATTAATGCGTGCGGTTCTTCATTACGCGCTATCATGGAAAAATGCGTTAGGTATCGGTGGGTGTGGCCGAATTACCTGTTAACTGCAGTTGATCGGCCTTATTGATGAGGTTAGCATCAGCATCTGCACAGCAATGCATGATGTACTGTACCAAGCTTTGCGGGAGTACCGCGTTAATTGTGATAAGGCTACCGGGTTGGCAAAAGTTCGCATTTACTGATCTATATGCAATCGTTAGTATAATGTAGCCGTTGACAGGGTGAAGGAATACGTTTGGAAAGCACCGTCATGAGTTCGTGTGAAAGGAAGATGAAACGATGATTTATGTTAACATTAGCGCACTCCTCACCAAGATGCCGAAGTGCGGCGCACTGGGTGTGATGAAACGCTGTTTGACTGAAAAGATTAACCTAGGGAGTGAGCAAAAATTAAGAGTAAGACATTGCGCGATATGTTGTTCTAGCTCGGGTTTCAGTCGGAAGTAGGCACTCAAGAACATGGTGTTATCGTTAGATCGCCAATGTCCACTATGTTGTACATAGTACTGGCAAACTCCAGTAAATGGCCAAAAGTTGTTGGTATCAAGTGCATAGCACAGTTTGAACACAAAAGTGGATAAGAAAAGCTAGTTTGTGAGGAAGCTGAAATCGCTCACCATAGAGTGGCACATGGCCATCCCTTGACTGCTCTGTTTGCAAGAATGATTAGCTTTCAAACCGATATTTCGTCATCCGGCAGACACAGATGGGACACAGCACTACAATTCCGATTGTGTTTCACAGATAAGGCCATGTGCACAGATAAGGAAGTTGAGAACGCCGCTTGCAAGTAGACAGTAAGGTAATTTCTGAATAGTGGACACCCGAAACCGGTAGTGAAAGACACGTTTCACTATATGTTAAAACCACTTTGAAAATATACAGCGGAATGGATTGGGACGATAAGAATATTATAGGTAGAAGGAACTTCCTTTTCCTTTCCGACGGCACTAACCTAGGAATAAAACTCGGGATCTGTTCAACAATGGTGTATCTGAAAGACACACTTTCCGTAGATAGTATGACTAACTGTGTTTACAAATGTATTCACAATAACTGTAAATATGTGTACATAGGAGATACCGCGAGCGAACTGCACACAACACTGCTGGAACACCTGGGGTGCATGTCACGGCGACGTATAAGTATAATGCTCTACTGTGAGATTCAGCGGTGGCGACGCACGTGTTAGGTACGGTGCATGTAAGGTGGCCAGATTATTGGTGAGCCAAACCGAGACGCTTCCAGATTTCTTGCACGGCAAACCGAGACATTTAACCTACCCCCGTTTGTTTCTGCATATGCTGACCGTACAACACATTGAAAAGATAAATAGCTAAATTTATTGCTTCAATGCAATAATACAAAGTACTTGCGTTATTAGTCAGTACAACAGGTAGGCTACTGAAGTCTTAAATAAATAAATAAATCGTATATTCCCGGTAGAAGGAGGCATACAAGTGAAGGCACAACTAAATATACCTACAAACATAGCTGCTTTGGAAGAGTAAAAGGTGTTTTTAAAATAAAGTACAACCAAAATTTTCGTAGTTTACACACTTGCGAAGTTCGTGGGTTAATAGTGAGATCCAGGAACATTATGGCGCTGGTTTGCGAAATAATCAAGGTTATTACTATGGTGGCAATAGCCAACGGTCGGCATGATTTCGCCATTTTGTAATCCATGGTTTCATGAGCACAGAAGCCAAAGTAAAATGTCGGTA